ATAGAATTCTTGTAATTTAGTATTGTTATCTGTTTTCTATTTGTTAAATCTATTGTTTTTGGTTTTGATTTTATGTGGTTTTAGTGATTAACGTTCATGGAACAAAAATAAAGAAAATGTCGTTGTGTTATCTGATTTGATAAAAATAAAAACATATTAAGTGACTGTATCAAACAACTTTCAATTTACATTTTCGTCGTAAATTACATATACGTAAATATGTAATTGATATAATTTCATTAAATTCGTTATCTGCGTAATAAATTAGTCATTTTTATTTATTAACCGCTACTGTTGATTACGTACTCCTTTAATATTTTTGACCAATAAATAAATGCAAAAGGTTTGAATAATAATGATCTCGTATGAACAAAGAATGATGAAAGTAACATGTGAAATAGTTGTTGATGGATAGAATTATCTTTGTTCCATAACCTGGGGTTTAATAATGTCTTAATTATCATATATTTAATCTTCTTTTATTATACGATTATAAAATAATTAAAGTAAAAAAGTCCGCTATGCGCTGATGCTGAAATCTGACATTTCATGGTTTTTTTGTTTTTAAAGGCAAATTTTTACGAATCTGTGCTTGACACATATCGTTTTTTTAAGCAAGATGAGTTGTTAGTAAGAATAATAAGTGCACAAAATTTCAAATACGTAATGACTAAAATATACTCAATATACCGATTTGCATTTACTTTTGATGAAACAGGAACGCCGAAGTTGTAGGCGCAGATTCGGTTGAAATATTTTTCTTGCCCGGGCGGTTTGCCCACGCGAATTGCAAGAATATTGCACAGTTAATATTGTTTCTGATTAAATATACGTTTTTAAGTGGAGCTTCATGATGTTAAGCGGTTATTGCCCTTTCAATGATTTTATTTAGCTCGTTTCTATAGACACTTACATGTTTTAAGCAAAAATCCAATACCTTCATTGCTCATTTATTAAGTATTTTAAGGCGATGTTAAAGTACTTCAAGAAAAAAGCTGTTAATTTACTATATGTCTGTCCTGTAAAACATTCATAAGTAAATATCGAATTATTGACAAAAGAAATTATTCGCTCACGTAATACCTACACAATCCTAACTTAAAATAAATCTAAATGTACACATTCAAATACTTTGAAGGAGAAAAATTGCGATTTCGCAAAGCTATCAATAAGGCACTGCAAAGTTGTCTAAAGCCTCCATGTAAGGCACATACCCGCTGTGGTAACAGTGTAATCAGTACACTATTTACAAACGGCTGTATAACTGTCCACGACCAAAAATTAAAAAATCATTCTGTCACTTCTCATCCGTCATGTCATTTAATCACATATTTCAATGGACTGTCATGACGGCCGTATTTGGCGGGAAAGCAATCCGCTTAAGCCCAAACGGGCAACGAATATTACTCGAATCTTTATTACATGAGATGACCATTGCATAAGCATTTGCATTTTGTAAATGTAAATAAAATTGATCTTGATGATATGTTAAATGCAATAAATTTTTAATGCAAATAAAATTGTCTTAACATTGCATGAGCCTAAGTTATTATGTAGTGTAAGTACATAATATATAGCTTTGTCGTTCAATATACTTTTTTATATATATATATATAACTAAAACTTTTCTTTAATATGTAAACATTTACCCGACACATGATATAAAGCATACATACATCCCGGTAGTCCTGGATTCGACTCATAATTATTGTTGAGTAATCGACGCAGAAATTTGACTCCTTGATTGGCTAATACAACATAATATGGTGTGTGTTCGATCCGTTGTGCTTAAAGTCCTGGCTAACTGAGCAGCATAGATCTTTCCAGAAGCTCAGAAGTTTCCTTCGCTGGCTACCTCACTGCTCCGAGGATTTCTGTTGGGAAGCCACAGCCAGGACTACTAGAGTGACTGATTCCTCTGTATTGAAACAGCCTCTGCACAAGGTACTATGGTATAACTATGACAAGAAGTCTAGATCTATTGTTTATTTTACGGTATCAAATAGCCTACAATTTAGTAAGATAAAATCATTTAGGTAGCATGTTCCGTTATGTAATCAACCAATTAAACCCGAGTACATCGAAAGTGCCAGACATGATAACTATGAAAAGAATAAATGTATCACGTATCATAGCTTTTTTTTCACTATTCTATCTCTCGTCTCGGCACACTTAATCTATAAAATAAATAAGTGGCGCTGCAACCATTTTAGCTCTGAGCCTCAGATTTCTGTATCTGGATAATTTGCCAATCGAATAGGCAGGAAGTGATCAGCCTCCTGTGCCTGACATACGCCGTCGACTTTTTGGGTCTAAGACAAGCCGGTTTCAAAACGTTGTTTTCCTTCACCGTTCGAGCGAAAATTAAATGCGCACATAAAAATCCATTGGGATCGACCCGACGACCTCAGGGATGAGAGTTGCACGCTGAAGAGTGAAGACACTAGGATAATCTAATTAGGAGGACTATAGATAATCTATATCGGCACTAATAAAGAGGAAAAATAGTTTTTAGATTTGGATAAACTCTAAAACAACTAAACCGATTTGAAAAACTCCTTTATAATAAAGCAACGTTATCGTACGTACGTACGTAACGTAACATAGACAATAGTCTATTAATAAATAGGAGAGTGGCATCAATAGAAAATATTGCAAAAACGGGAAAAATTCTTTCCTTTTGAAATCTTTCCTCATTTGTTTCAACCCATCTCGAGAATGATAGTCAATTTAATAATGCAATATAAATAAAAGACTATATTATTATAAATCGGTCATAGATTTAACCCATGTTTGATAATTTTATACGTGTATTGTTCCAACATAAACTAACCACTGACTCGCCCAAATGTCCCAGGTGGTTGATATCGGGCGGTCACATTGACATTTTTAATTAAACAAATGACTACTATAAAATATAATCATACACACACATACACCGTTAGTTATTATTGATTATATATCTGGAATTTTTACACAATCTAACATCTATGCCGTTTAAGTATATTAGCTATAAATTCAAGTATGAGAAAAGACTGCCTTTCTTTCATTTGCAATCACACCGCGATAGACGATTGACATTTTCTCTGTCTACAGAATTTTAAATGACTTGGGAGTTTACCAAATGTTTTAAATCATAATTTTCTCTTGAAGAGAAACGCAAGACACACAGAAGTTTTTAATTTTTTACGTTCGTAAGGACCAACGTTGGTTGTAATGCTCCTATACAAACTATCTGCAGTAAACGACGCTTTGATGACATATACGAGGCTGGTCCATTTATGACAGTCTCCGTGTCTTCAAGCGTTAGATGCTGCAGCCATTGATTCATCACCAATAACAATTGCAATAATGAAATATATAAAATTTTTGAATTGCATATGTGATTTAATATTCGCATTTCTTAATCTAGTTCTTTGTCAATTATTTTTATACTGTGTTTTGTGTAATGGTCTGCAAGTGTGCTTTTTAAAAATACATTAATAAATGACGTCATCAGTGATTGTAGATAATAGAGTTAATAGAGCACAGAGCAGAACTATTATAGAACAATGACATGTAGGCAACTCCTATTAAGACAAGGTTCGGTCTTCCGTGACGTAGTCCCGAAGGTGGGACTGAGCCCACGCTTCCTCGCGGAGATTCGCATCGCTAGTTAAGAAATTGTTCGAATCACCGCTAATAAATGATAAAATGATTATCCCTAGAGCTGTGGAAAGAGGTGTTAGATTGGTCTACGCAAGTACTAAACTTTAACGGATATGTAGAATGAAATAATTACTAATATTGATTAATATTAGTAATTATCAAATTTATAAAATTTATAAAATTTCATACATCTTTCTAGCGATCTATTGAGGGTAATTATGGTAAACAATATAATGTAAATGAATTCGTGTGAAGACAAACTCCACGTTTCGAGTGAAATTGGTTGAATTGAATAAGAACGTAGGTACGTTTTACCTACCTAACCTACTACATGTTAAGTGAGACCATGTTATACGCGGAGAAGAAACAAGATTACAATACAGATAAAGGTAAGATAACATTTTCCATAAGAACATTAATATAAGCCTGTAATGATATTACATTTTTATAAAGCCTAGTTCTACATGCGATTCTCAACTTTGGGGTCGCTTGAATCGCGGCTATGTAAGAATTTTCTTATCCGTGTTGACTAAATGCTAGATTCAGAAACTACGGGAGTTTCGTATGTGAACATCTAATACGTATTTGATATACGCACTTAGCCCTAATCCTTGTCTATGTACCTGAGTGACTTGCTGTGTGGTGAAATACAGCTATATAAAAAACGACGGCTTGTTACTAACATAGAAGTAAGACGGCTGATCAATTAACTACAAAAATTTGAAGCTAAGATATGGATCTTGTGATGATACAGGCGCTACTAGTGCTGGAGAGAACTGGCAGTAAATGTAAAATTAGAAGCATTTAATGTATTTTTTGACGTTCATAAGTGTACATTGTGTTACCTATTATATGAATAAATGATTTTGACTTTGACTTTGAATGCGCGATCTATTCTTCGAGAGTAGATAATATATTGAGTATTTATAAAAAAGGCAAAATTTTGTCACTATTTCTTGTGTCATTAAAACAGTTTAAAGATTATAAGTTGCAACTTATTCCTTACGCACACTTATTAATAAAACATGATACATGATTCATACAATATTAGTTTTTCGCCTTGACTGTTTTAGGTCATAAGTTTCGCGGAAAATCAATGAAATAATTTGTTATTTCATCACTTGAGTTAGTCACTTTATTTATTGAGAATTGGTTGTCTAATTATTAATTAATTGATGTTACAATAAATTATCTACGAACCTAATGTAAGTAAAACACAAACATAACAAAAACAATTTATTAATTAAACAAATAAATAAATATCTCGAAAACTCTCTCAATAAACTATGCATAATAATTAATATGGCAAATGTGAGAATTATAATACCTAAATTAAAGTCCACCACAACACTTCACGTGAATGTCCTGTCCATATTATATTCATAATCAAACTCAGCGAAGAACGAATCGAAGGGAGATAACGAGTCTTCAGTAAACTCTGAGGTCGTCTCCTGTTCCGTTGAGAATTCTGATAAATCCGAGCAAAAGGGGGAAGACCATCGTTCTGGTTGTGCGTCAGGATCACGTAGAGCTGTCGAAAGCGCCGTGATGTAGCGCATGGCCAGCCTCAAAGTTGTGATTTTCGTAAGTTTTTCACAAGGCACAGGGTTTCCCGTAATTTCCGCGGCGGGAACTGCTCGCCGGAGGGTCTCGAAGGCGCGGTTTATCTCACGCATGCGGCTTCTTTCGCGTGCGTTTGCCGTTTTTCTTCTATACTTGCTAAGAGGTTGTGCCGAACGACGCGCCCGCGGCTCACGGGAGCGCGCGGCGCGCGGACGCAACTGATACTTGTCGTGATCGGGCATTGAGTGCGCAACGTTAACTCAGCGTCCGAATTCCGCTGAAAAATACGCTATGTCTCAACCTCACTCCACCCACTTGCCCCGTTGAGGTACACTCGCGCGTAAAATTGCTATTAAAATAAATACAGTTATTATCTAAACTATCATTAGAATATGTAGCAATCAATGGAATTTTATATACAGTTGCTTTATTTAAAATAGTATTATTTATTATACACACTTATTAAAATACAATCAATAATTTAAGCAAAAATCTATATATATTTGTAAGATGACTTAAATTGACAAAAAAGTGATAAAACAATTATGCAAAAAGGTTTTGTAATTGTTAAAAACGAAAATGTATTTAAGAAAAACATTTTTTTCCTCAAAAAACTGTTTTATAAGTTGTGGATTACATTTATCGTGATACCTATGGTATTCGTCCTTGCAATTTTGATTTCATAATGTTTAGATAACGTTATCGTTTGCTATCAACTTAGCTCTTTTAAGAAGACATCTTAATCTTAATATCAGCTGTTATATAATTTTTTGTAGTTTAGTACATGTGGAAACTTAGTTATAAAAACTAGGTTTTATATTATCTCTCTTGAACCAATTTATTAATTTTTCATCACTACAGTTTTAAATAGAAGACCACATTAGGGGAAAAAAGACAGAGAATTCTATCACAAAACCTGGTTTGAATAAACGAAAATATGTAAAGAGTACCTCTTAATGTTAAACTAATTATATGCTTGCTCTTATAAAGACAGTCCTTTGCGAATATACTCCGTTCCAATGAATGAACAAAGCCATATCTAAACAGCTTCTTATTTATCATTTGCATTTTGGATCTAGCGTTTCCGTTTGAAACTTGACGTTTTCGAGCTGATTTGTGCCTGCTGACCTTCACCGAGGACTTATTAACAAATAATGTGTGGGTTGTCTAGTGCCAGCTATTGGATAACTATATCCGACAAAGCGTAGGTGCATACTGCATAGCCAAGCAAAGCATCCGCAATAAAATCGGTACTTAAACCTTCTTTGTAGATTATTCCGTAGGTCGATTAAAAATTAAAATAAGCATAGACTATGCCGAAAAGTTTTATTGTGTCTATGACGCACGATTCTGTTACAGTATTAGTTTACCGCGTAAATAACTAGAGGGCAATTTAAACGCCCTTTGGGCGGGAAAAAAAGTTTATATTTCATATTTGCAATTTCAAAATTAGACACGTTACTTTTTCAATATGAATTGTGATTTTCAGTTATTGTTTTATTTTGACAAACGAGATATATTAGTGAATATGAAAACATCTATTTGTGATTACTTAGATCACTTAAATAATGAAACAATCGTAAGATTTCCGCCGCTTCGATTTCTATTGAAATTAGATGTCATGGATTTGTGTGATGCTTTTCCTGAACTAGGCGATTTAATTCATAATGAGCCGGTTAAATTTAATAACATTTGTAACAAAATCTTTTTCGCATGCCTTAAATCTACAGAAAATGTATATACGCAAACAATTCAGGCGTCACAAGTGGCTGTTACAATTAGACTTAAAAGTTTACCACGTGTTTTATCTCGATCCACAAGCCAATCGCGATGCGGAAATGTAGTAACACATTTTGGATTACTTTTAAATATTTCAAAACTGACAAGTAATGTATTTCATTCAGTTTGGTCCTGTCCAGAAGAATGCGATGGCAATGAGCTTATACTACACTATATACCAAAAGCATCACCTAAGTGCTCACTTTGCAAGAGCACGATGTTCGAGAACAGCGGTCTAAGACGCTGTGGCGAACAAGTAATCGCTACTTTTAAACTAAAAAATACTTTACTATGCAAAAGGTTTACCATTATTGACGATCTTATCCCACTGCTTCAGCTGGGATCAACTTATTTCATTCATACAGTGGTTTTAAAGCAAACTGTTGCTGTTTGGTCTTTAGAAGAACATATCATGCTCCATGTGCCACAAACGTTCTCTGCACCTTCAGATATAAAAGATCTTTTTGAAGCGTGCGATGGTTGTCCCTTGAGATTTATCTATTGTCTTGCGTCAAGTATTGGAGTTAATGTCTGTCCAATAAACTGTTTCATGAATGCTAAAATTAATCTGCTACTAAGTTTGAGTAGCCTTAAGGCTCACTTATGTACTGGGTCCGCCATAATACATTTTCTAGCAGCAGGCTCAGATACTGGTTATGTAGCTGAGCTGATGAGACGAGCTGCTTTGTTAGCTGATCGGCACACGAGTCTAGGGTTGTCTAATACTGTGGTTGAGACGGCACTTATAGCGTCATCAGGAGGGGTGTGTGTTATGCCATTTCCCCTTAAAGTATATAATCAAAAACAAATAAACGCTCTCATGTCTTCAATTGAAACTGGAGACATTAACTTAGAAGTAGGGAAATGTAAACTAAAGTGTGCCGTCTGGGCACAAGGAATGGATTTAAAAAAAAATACCCTATGCAACATCGGAGGTGTGTTTGGCTTAATTTCACGTGGTGACAATCAGGAAGATGAAGACGACTTAGCGGATTTTACATTCCAGGCTGCTATGGAACCTGCAAAGACAACTAAGGAAGAATTACAGGCACTTAAAGATTTGTCGAATTATATTGATTTAGTAGCAGGATATACAGTCATTGTAACTGAAGAAACAGAGAATGTACTTCGTAATTATTTTTTAGCTGCACGTAAAGAGAAGCCAAAAACTGTGAGTGTAAAATGTATGGAGGCACTCGTAGCGGTGTGTATGACGTCAGCAAGGTTGTGCCGACGCAACGCCACAAATATAAATGACGCAGTATTTGCTATTTGGTTGCATGTGAGCGGTTTACCAAGTCCAAGATTTGCGCCAGAAGAATATCTAGAGACACCAGCAAATATTAAAAAGTTTGATAAAGTTATAAAACTATTTGTAGGTTGGCTAGAACAATTTACTGGTCCTATTTATTAAGGTTACTAAAATAAAAATGCATTAATTATAGAATCTTAAGAATTTAATGTTAATAAAAATGTGTATTTTTGCAGACTAGATAAAACAATAGCACCTAGATACTAGATAAAAAACAAAACTCATTTTTTTTGTTAAGTACTAAGAAATATGAATTAAGATTTTAACAGTTAATATATTTAAACAAAGAAGATAACATGTTTTAATTCAAGTTAATTTTCTTTTAAAAAACTAAAATCAAATACAGAATTTTGTAATATATTTTTTTGAGAATTCAACTTTTCACATAATGTTGTTTGATTCTGTCTAAGCTTCAGGCTTTCAGCTACAACAGACTTAATATCATTATTGTAATTAATGTTACTTTGTTGTCCATAATTAGTTACGGGCTGTCCTATTTTAAAGTCTTTCTTTTGATAAGAAACTACACTATATGGAAGTTCGGATATATTGTCAGCATCTCTAACTACTACAGTAATAGTAGACCATATACATTTAGTAAATTCTTCTGTAAATTCAGCTAAATATTTACTCAAACTATTTATATTTTTCTCTACCTTCATGATGATATCAGAAATCTTGTCAAATTCAATGGATAAATCTTTCAATTTTAATAGAAATTGCTGATTTTGCATATCTTGTAGAATTTTGCTTCTCAATTTTAAGGTGTCATAGCATACCCTGACAATTTCAGGACACTGTTTTTCTTTTTCCCTATTAGAGTTATAAAAGTCACTTTTTTTCTGTGAAACAAATGCTTTATATCCATTGGCAAATATTCCTTGATAGTTATTTCTAGGTACAAAATTATTAAGATCGGTAGATATACCTTCATTACTTCGTCTAGCAGCCGATTGGAGACGAATAGATAGTTGAGCCCATGCAGTTGTCAACATCTCAACTTTATCTGCTAATTCTTGGCCATCTTTAAATAATTTGGAAAAACCCCCTAAAATGTTGGTTCCCATGTTATTTTCTTGAAGCCCCGTAATGTGTTTTTCTCCTGAATCAATCATTGTCTTTATAATCTCTATTTTAGCATAAAGCTTTCCAATTTGTTTGTCAATATCATTATGTTTCAATAATAGCTGCCTACCCTCTTGTTTTAAAGACTCTGCTCTAGCAAACAAGGCATTGATGAGTAAATCATATACTTCCATTTGTGTAATTACAAAGTATAGTCCATTGCGGTGCAAAGTTTGGCTATTTTTAAAATTATATAATGCTTTTGGGTGTTCCAAACATCTCTGAACAGCTTTAGGAACAATAGGAGAGTTATTTTCTTGGATTATATGTTTTTTATTGTACAAAAACAACATAGCAACCACATTTTCATTCCAATACTTAATAACTTGTTCATCATTATTCAAATGGATATAATTTGTGTGACATATAATTAGTTGGTCCTCAACTGGTAAGTCTGTGTCTTTAAAGATCATTTCCTTAAGGGTAATTATTTTTGTTGAAGAGTCAATGTCATATGCCAATTGTGTTAATGTAGATAGGGAGTATATTTTGATAATCTTTTTAGATAAAATATTTTGCAGCATTTCAAAAATAATCACTTTACTTGAATTACCTACCTCTTTGGTTTCACATGGTATATTAAAAGTTACTTTTGAAGGAGCATCTCTTCCTCTCAATTTTGGATCCCATTCAAGAGCTACCCTTAACCAATCTTCCATAAGTTTCTTAAATGGTTGTGATATATGGTTTTCAGCAAAAATCTCATTAGAATATTCAATGTCTCCATGAAAGGTTTCATATACACAAATATTATCATGCTGTTTTTTTTTTACAAAAGGCATCCACTCGACAGGTGTTTTAAAAGGTAGAAATGGACGAGTACCACACATAATTTCAAACGCAAGTAAACCTAGCGACCAAAAATCTACAGAATTACTATAGGTTTTACTGTAAAAAATTTCAGGTGCTAGATATTGGAGTGTACCTACAAAACTTGCACATATTGAATTTGAATCAATTTCTTTTGCATAGCCCAGGTCGATGATTTTGTATATAATTTTGTCTTCAGTCACATCCTTTGTTCCATAGGGGAAATGAATAACAACATTTTCTGGCTTTAAATCTCGATGAGTTATCTTATTACTATGTAGAAAACGCATAGCACTGCCTATGTCACTTAATATTTTACGAACTTTGACTTCTTTTAATCCGCATGACGCATCGGGGCTATTTAATGATTGTCGTAGATCTCCTCCACCACAATATTCCATACATAGTATAGGCAATTTTGATGGATTTACAGACGATAAGCCAGTAATAAAATCCGAAGGCAACGTCTTTGTTCCAACTATATTTGGGTGATTGCAAGTCTGTAACATTTCTACTTCCTTGGTCCATCTTTCTCGGTGTTTAGTGGTTAGTTCATCACCCCATTTACAAGTTTTTATTGCAAGTTTTTCCTCGTTTTCTTTGTGTTTCCAAAGTACAACTGTACCAAAACTTCCCGAGCCTAAAACTCTATCTTTGACCCAATCACCTATAAATATTATATCTTCCATGATTTGTATAGTAACATTAAACTTTCCTTACGTTACAGTTAGACTTTAAAAGTTAAATTGATGTAAGATCGCCAGAATCAAATTGTTTAAAAATAGCAATCTATATACACAATAACATAAGTAGACATAGGATATAGACAAAAGTTGGCAACTGGTATAAAGGCTGTGATTGGTCACTAGCTCCTTAAAAACAAGAAGCTAAAAGTCAAATAGACATGACAATATGTCGTATACCATATGAACGAGCAATATTATATGCAAATACGAATTTATCATTGTGCAACACTAAAATGCTTACGCTATTATAAAAACATTATGTTTATCATACAATTTAAAATTCATTTAAATTAGATCCCATTTATTGAATAGCCGTATGTTATCGGCAACTCGGCAAGCTACATTCTACATTCCAAAAATCTAAATGTCAATTGTCATACAATCCAGTGATTTTGTCAATAACAATATACATTTTTAAAATTACAATTGAATTTCAATCCTTAAAAGTAAAAAGGTACTTAAAATATCAGCAGAACATTATACATAATATTATGGATGATATTACATCTCTGTGCCGGACTTGTATGAAGAGTAGTTCAGTTAATATGGTGGATTTGTTTGGCCCTATTAAAATAGAAGAAAATTGTTTTATGAAGCTAGCGGATGTATTGATGACTGCTACCTCATTAAATGTAAGTTAATTTTTTTGGATATACTATCGTTTCAACTTGCATTGCATTTATTCATAGCTAAGCCAGTGTTGAACCAAAATAATTTTTTTAAAAATGTTTTGGTTTGGATATGGCAATGTCTATTACTTGACGTGCTAGCCAAGAAATATTATAATTGAACTTATACTTTCTACTTACACTGTTTTAAAATTGGATAATAAAGTCTTAAACATATTGCTTCATATTTAAGGTTTCTACTGATGATGGCTTGCCACAAATGCTTTGCGTCACTTGTGCACAGACCTTACAAATTGCTTACACATTCCGAACACAAGCGATTGCATCTGCAACCGAATTGAAGAAATTATTGGAGTGCCCTGTCATCAAAACTGAAACATTTGAGAGTGAGCTAAGTGGGCAAGATGATTTTTATCTTCCTGATGACCAAAACACACAAGGCGAAGCTATATACAGCAGTACAATTTGCCCAAAAGTATGTAATGATAATAAGAACACTGTAACATCTAAAGAAACATATAGCTGCCTGAAATGCAATAAACACTTTTACAGTGAATCATCTTTTGATAAGCATGTAACAAAGTGTGATTTTAAATTATATGATGTCAAATTGGAGAGTTCAAAAGTTTATGCTTGCTCATATTGTAGAACAGCATACAAAACTAAGAAAAGATTAATAAATCATGTAAGGAAGCATGAGATCCAATTACTTGATAAAAAATATATTTGTGATTATTGTAATACAAGTTTTAATGCTAAGACTATATTAAGAAGGCATATGAGGTATGTATTTTGTACCACTATTTAATTTCCATACCATAAATACTAAAGATAATTAGACATTTATCTTTTAGTAACAATATTAATTAAATATAAGATGAACATTTTTAGACAAAATATATTTTCATTGAATTCAATAAGCCTAAGTTTTGATAGTAATGCACAAAATACATCATCCTAATTCCTGGTACTTTATACTACAGAAGGGTCATTTTGAATTTTGTTGCTTAAAATTTAAGAATGGAAAAATTTCTCTAAGTTAATATCAAATTTTCCAGAATACATACACAAGAAAAGCCATTTAAATGTGAAAAGTGTCCAAGGGCCTTTTATAGAGCGGATTTATTAACATATCATATGCAAAAGCATGACAATATAAAGCCGTTTATTTGTCCCCATTGTTCAAAATGTAAGTATTATTAATACTGTATTAGATTAAAGAAACAAAAAGAGTCTCATGGTACAGTCTCCACTTGAGCAGCGACAAATATGTCAAACTTCAAATAGCAAATTTGTTTTGACAGCTATTAAAATACGTTTGGTTAATGTCGTAGAATATGGGCATACAAAAATATGTTTGATTTTTACTTTTTCACAGTTGAAATGTGTACTTAATTTTTTTTTTTTTTTTTGCACCTGCAAAGTACTGCCTTTTTAGTATGTTATGTAACTAATAATAATTTTGTTTATTTTGTAATACTTTTAAGACGAGATTGACAATTTACAGCCTCTTCATTTATTATCCTCACATAAAAAGCTCAATTAAAATTTTTTTGTTGTCTTGATTCTGAATGTCACCGATGTGATAGGCTGTCTTTTAAAATATTTTGGAAATAAATATAGCCAAGTCGAGTGTATGCAAGTCAAGCATACCATATCATTCCTCATAATATTAGTATATGTATATAATATAATTTTTTTTCAGCTTTCTCCCAAATATGTACTCTTAAAGATCATATAAACATACATACGGGAGCAACCCCATTCCTATGTTCTGAATGCGGCAAGGGTTTCGCGAATCGGTCAAATTTACGACAACATGCGATGAGGCATACTGGCGTTAAACCTTTCACGTGTAAAATGTGCCCTAAGACATTTGCCACGAAAGGTAAGCAGTTAAACTAGTGGATTTTTGAAGTTATACTTCTTTAGGCGCGTTATGAAAAATTGATAAGAGTGAAATTTTACGATGCGCGCGCACCGTGACACAAAATTATCAGTATGAGCGCCGAGCGTGCGCGAGCGAGATGGGAATAAGACAATCTACAAGTAGAAATAGAATATGCGTGAAGTTAGCAGCTATGCCAAGAATTTTGAATTGAACCATATTGACATTTGTAGTACCTTTTAAACAAATAAAGGAGTTTTAATTTTTTTTTCAAAGATATTTAGCAATGCTTTTTCACAAAGACCTATTGTTACTTAGTTAAAAGGATATGAATCATACCTAGTTATTAAATTGAATTAATAATATAATAAATAATAATTATTATTATTAAATTATTAACGTTAAATATTTATTATTAATTATTTAATATTTAAAAAAATAAAGAAAGCCAAAGAAGTATAACTTCTTACGCGCGTACATTAGTACACGCACCATTTTTTTATCTGTATAAGACGGTATAATTTATATAAATTATTTTGAATTTACTAGTTAAAGAATAAAATATTCATATAAAGGTCGGGTATTTTTGTATTTGTATGCACGAAAAGGTCACTGGCACAGGCTTGCGAATGCACAGACTATTCCTGCCAGCGCGCTCGCGTCGAATTAATGAACGATAAAAAGTTACCATTATGTCGTGTAAAGTACTGGATTGTCGAAAATAATATTAACAATAACGCGTAATTCAATCCCTGCCGCACATCGTAACGTTTTACGAATAGATTTGAACAAAAAGATTGATTGAGAACTGGCAGTAAATGTATTAGAATAATTTCATATGTACTACTTTATTAAAGTTCATAAGTGTTTATTGTGTTACCTAAATGAATAAATAATTTTGAATTTGAGAAATTGAATAATACGTTAATTTTACTCTTCTACATACATATAAAACGAACCGCTCATTCTCGTTGGTAATCTAGTAGAAATCCACGAGAATGTGATGAATATTCTATACTTTTTGCAAAAGGCAATCCAGAAAAAGAAACAATTTATATATTTAAAAATACAAACATCCAAAAAAATCTGGGATATCTAAAATCTTACTAGATTCAAGTAGCCCAATCTAGAGAGGACTGCCTATCTTTGGAGGAGGCCTTCACCTACAGAGGAGTTCTTACAGAATGAAGAATAATAGTTTAATAGTATCGGGTTAAGGAAAAACTAACACAAGTAAATTTTGCATACTAACTATTAAGTTTGCATTGACAAAACGAACAATTCTATATAAGAAAACTAACCTAATATAACTTCTTGTTTTATAAGCTGTTTTTTTTTAGTTATATCTAAAATCCTAACGAATTTATAAAACTGGATATCCTAATAGATTACAATTAGAAAGCAATATAACTTACAAATCGGGAGCATGCACGAGATTTGGTACGTTTTTGAGAGTGTATTAAACAAGCAGCACCTTCGTACCATGAAATCTTACAGATTAATATCGAAGTAACTAGACTAGATCTAGCGTAACCAACGTTGATATATTGTAGAGACTGTTAAAATGTTAAAATCCAATATTTTTTTCATATACGGAAGTCAAATGTAGTCTTAAGTTTCGGAATCTTATTCACATTTTTAAATTTAAATATATTAGGGGAAATTGCTAAGTGTTATTAAATGGTGATTATGTAACCTCTTCCTATTTGTGTTAGCTTCAAATTTCTGTTTAAATTCTTTAATTTATCTTCGCTTTTATTATTAACTCTAAAGATCAGTACTCACATACGGTATTACTCGATCGAGCTAAACTGTCAAGTAAAACCCATGGCGGGCTTTCGTCCACACATTAAGCATTGATCTGTCGAGTGAGGCGCGCCGTTAAGTATTCACCGAACTGTTCGAGCCAAAGGATGTCTGTGCAACAAAGGAGACGGTGGCTGTATTTAGCAAGTCTCAGGCTGCTGCCTCGAATTTTGCGGGCAGCGGGGCGGCGGCGGCTGCGGCACGGGAGCGGGCGATTTCACCTCTCGTTACCCGCCCTCGCGCCGCTGCCACGCCGCTGTTTTCGAGAACCGGTCCATTTGCTTTTACGCATAAGATCCTGCCGCTCCCGCGCCGCCGCCGCTGCCGCCCCGCTGCCCGCAAAATTCGAGGCAGCAGCCTCACAGTGCTTTATAAGAAAATCAAAGAAAATGAAAATAAATTTATCATAACATTTATTTCTCTTATTTTTGTGGGAGTAATCTTTGGACTTGACATTCCATAAACACTCACACTGTCTATATGTGTTAATAGTCTTCTATAGCGCTTTTGGAATAAACTCGCAAATCCATTTCTCTTAAAAACACGTGTTTCAATTACGATAAACAGTACCAGACTGACGCTCGCCTCGCGCCACTCGCAGTCACGTACACACGTTCGAGTCAAGATTGACGGCTCGTTTCGAGTAGGTTCGAAGGAAATTACTTTCATTTAATTCCATCGAGCCGGATCGGTGCGAGCCTTCGAGCTGTGAGTTTTGCGGTCCACACGTTGATTTTTACTCGACTTCGAGTAAAACTATCGAGTAATACCGTATGTAAGTACCTACTGACCTTAAGAGGTGTCAAACTCAAACTCAAAATAGCTTTATTCATATAGGTAAACAAGTACACTTATGAACGTCAAAAAAGAAGTTAATTTAATTGTAAATTTACATTTACTCCCAGTTCGCACAAGTCAAGGGCGTAGAGCGGGCAAGAAACTTTCCGCCACTCTTTTTAATCGCTAAGTTTTGAGTCATACAAATTGTTTGAACTGGGGTAAACCGGTCGGTTTTCACGCGATGTTTTCCTTCACCGTACAAGCTGGTGTTCAAGAAAACACCAAGTGTACTGCGTGTGTACTGTACTCTTGTTATGTATTCATTAATCCGCAGGTCAAATGAAAAATCACATGGAAACCCACTCGGGGCTGAAGCCATTCAAATGTGAGGAATGTGGTGCTGCTTTCACAAAATCAACATCTCTAAGGAAGCATCAAAATATACACCGTGGTATTAAACCATTCGCCTGCGATACATGTCCCATGAGGTATGGTCTTCACATACTAGTATCAAATCAATGTATATAAAATATTATCAAACTATTTAAAAAAAGTATGGAGATTCTTGCCCATTCCTCTCCATATGAAACTACCTTTGGGAAAGGGCAACTAGAGTCTTTTTTAAATATTTTAAACTTGTAATTTTGACTTTAAAAGTGCCTGTAGGCCTAATTGAAATAAATTATTTGACTTGACTTGTATATTTTATATCTATAATTCATAAAGTAATTAAAATATTGTCTTTTATTAAATTAGATAGGAAGATACGAATAAAATTTAAAATAATAATAAAATTGTAAAAAAAAATATTTGTACGGTTTATAGATATGTTCAATGTTATTTTTATTATTTATTTAGGAATTTTTAGTATATTATTTAGTCAAATATTTTTCATATGAAGATAGCAATATTTTTTGCAACCACAAAGTCTGCTGTAAATAGCTGTTAACTTTCATTAATTTTATACCTACATTAAAATTGTTGCTTATTCTGGTAACTATAATAATAAAATTTGAGTGAACTTAAACAAAATTCGTAAGTCTGAGTTTTTAAACTTTAAAAATATAGATAATATTGAAACTTACATAATGGCTTCTAAATAAAATTGTTATAAACAAAATTTTGCTAACCAACACTCAGCATACTTATACATCCAATACAATTTTTTTATGTGACAATCAAATTATAAAAACTAAACGAAAATTAACTAATTTCAAAGTGTCAGGGGAGCAACCTTGAATTATTATTTAAGATATTTTTTATAATTATACATAAATAAAATTATTAATGTATATATAATAAAATGTTGCGTGTGGACATTGCATTGAATAAAATTATTACACACAATGTTAGGAGATTCGAATAACACCTATTAACACTTCATAGTAAATATTGTATTAATTGTTCCAATAAAAAACAAAAGTTAAATTATTTTTTCCAGGTTCACTTGCAAAGACCACCTGAAACGTCACCAGCGTATACACACGGGCGAAAAGCCGTACAAGTGCACGAATTGCGAACGTACGTTTACGCAGAGCAACGATCTTATCAAACACATGCGACTTCACTTTGGAGAGAATATTTATCAGTATGTTTACTCTTATAATTAAGACATAATGAAACACACAAAATAATAATAATATTCATTAAAAAAGAAAAAAAACAAAAGAGTGTGTAGAGAAAAAAAGGAATTACCTTAAAAAGGACTTTCATTTTAAGTGTGTAATGTGTGTGTTACTCTTTGTATTATGTATTATGCTGATAATAGTTATCATTGTTCAATAGTTTTTTGTGAAATTCGCAATTCAATTTAGACATTAAATACACACAATTAGCACACATATGAAAGAGTTACAGATTTGACGCGATAATTTAAAAAAATATATTTGTTGATAAAATTTAAAAACTTTATATATTTAAAAAAATTGTCCACAGATGCTCAGTATGCCTGATGCGATTCCGTTTGTTGCGTGAGTTGAAACGGCATTACCCGATTCACTATACGGAAAACAAAGAACAAGATGTCGCGACTAAAACAGAGACAGACGGACAGATTACAATCACATTGAGCCATTTAAATAACACGCAAGACATTACTATTAATATTTCGAATGAGAAGAGTTGAAAGAGTTTTGGAAGAGAAAAAGTTATAGTGGGAATACAGTGAAATGTGCCACTTAAAAACGGCGATGTACTCAGAGTTTTATCTCTAATGGGAGATTCTAGGTAGATTTAAGGAAGCATTAGTGACAGATTAGTTAGCGAAGTGGCCTTATGTTTTATTTCAAAACGGAATACTTACCGTATATGTTAATAAATTTAAATAAATGTTTGGTTAAATTTTATTTTTATTTTAGTTTGAATGGAAACACAGAGATTAATGAATAAATAATATGCTTACACAGATACTAAATACTTGATTTATAGTATAAGGTTGAATTATGATAATTTTGAGAAAATTGTGGCTATCAAAATAATATTAATTTATGTTTATCTTCTTCACTTCAATCGTTTATTAGAAAATAAAAAAGAAATAATTTATTAATTCTTATTTTAATAATCGCCTACAAACTGCAATATATAGTAATGTAATTGTAAGATTATGTTTAATAGTAAAATGCATGATGTGATAGTTGCGTAAATAAAAGACAACATTGCTTTTTAAAGGATTTTTTAAGATATACTTATTTTGGCGCGTTGTGCACCAATGATTCACTTTTATCTTTTATAGTTGAAAGGGGATTTGAATCGAATATTAAGACTATGTTATGAATGAAATAAGTGAGTACAAATCATTATAACTGTAATCAGAAATAGAACGTGTGCAATCCGCGCGTTATACGAGGGAATGAAATCGCGTAAAATGATAATGCCTTATACCGTGTTATAAGGAAGGTTACTGTATTTTGTGAACTAAAATAGTTTTCTGCACGTTTTTTTATTAGTCTATCTTACTACGGTCGCATTTGCCCACTAGAGGTCTGCGTTAATAAGAGCCTATAGTGGTATTTTTAATCAGACGAAGCCAACTGACAGTAGCTAATGTCACTTTGTAAAATAATGTTGCCATATTTAAAGTAATAGTGATGCGTTCAGTTCTTGTTCAATCAGATGAATGAACAATGAGTGTGAATAGGTAATCATTTCAAACTATAAAAAAATATTATTTCTATTTCAAAATTGTATAAAAGTGCTCTGATATAAGTTAGGTACTAGTACTATGTAACTACAATCAGTTTTTTGACGGCTTATTACAAAGCGCGGCGCGGCGACTAGTGACATCACCGGTCATTAATTCAGGGGTTTTTACTTTGTCACAACACTATTTTTATTTCATTAAAAACTGACAACACCGTAAACGTCAGTTGACTTCGTCTAATTAAAAATACGACTATAATATGTCCCGTATTACGTCCCGGTAACATTCACTCCCTCTCTGGGTCAGTAACTCATGTCTGCGTATCGTCAGCTGTTAATGTAACATCCACAAACGAGACTTAAAATTTAATCCTTTTTTGACATCTGAGGAGTATTTCGATTAAGGTGAAATTTTGTAGAGATTTGGGAGCAAATAATATTCCGTTTATATTGACAAAAACTCAAAATTCTGTTTCATAATTTCATGACAAATTTACCGATTGTACTGTATTCGGTAAATTTGTTGAATCACGGCTCCACCTTAAAACAGCTCCAAATTTTTATCTACATATTTTCAGGCAATGGTGTACCATGCAATAATGTGGCGCATGCTCTTTAACCCCATATAAATTAACTTAAATATCGTGATTTGTAAAATGAATGAAACAAGGTACAAATTCTTGGCTTTATCCTAACCTAACCCTTTTTCTATCGTTCTCTACGATTTGTATGTAATGTAATTCACTGGGACTGGGCCTGAAACAATATCATTTACATCATGCATGTAATATTATCAATTTTCTTTAATAGGCCCATGTCTTACTTGTATACGTAAACATATACAAGTCGTAAAGAACGAAAAAAAACTTTGCATCTGTTTTAAGGTGGGCGGCCGTTATTCGGCAAATTTACCAAAAATATCTATGTCCTGCCGAATTCTGCCTTATTGGCCAATGCAATTAGTATGTAGAATGCTATTGATAGTTGTTGCATATATTTGTTCATAATTTCTTAATAAAGCACATTTATTAAAGGTTTATAACTTTTTTCTATCATTTTAAATCCCTATATTCGTTCGCAACATTTCATTTATGCGTTTTTATTAGGTAATAATATTCTGCTAAAATGCGAGTTTATAATTCTTTTAGTAGATATGCATTATGCACGCATAAAGGCAACGAATTCAACAATTGCGATTGCAACTGCGGCCTTTTCTAGAACAGCATCTGCAAATACTCAACACGACACATAAACAAATATGATATTCATCTTCCGCACATTGACAATTTTCTAGAATCGCTAGATCAAATTACACACAGACTAATAAATCCGGACACCTCATTACACATTCTTTTGTTCCCGCCGCTGAATTAATGGACTATGTGACCATTGGCGCTTTTTTATATCAAAGCCATCCATAAACTGACTAAATACATAAAAATAATTCTAGTCAATTAAGATTTAATTAATTTATACAGAAGCTTTTGTCTTCGCCTTACTTTGTAGTTGCAAAAACTAACCCAGACACTGCGCACGCTCGCTTATAACATCTCTTAGCCACACACCCATTCACGTGAGTAAGGGTAGCAAAGTAGTTGGGACCACAGCATAGATGAAATATGAAAGGATAATGAGGACCACAAGCTTGACCTCAAAATATATGATCCTCATGATTAACAATAATATTTATAGGATTTTCTACATATGTGAAATGAAATCGAAGTTAAAAAGCGACAAAGCTTCTGGTATAAAATTCCAAAACCCTTAAAAGATTTTTTATACTAGCTTTTCCATATTAATTTCTAGGACATTTTAAAGAAACTAATTTAAATATTACAAAAACAAACACTCACTAAAATTAAATATAATCTCAGCCGCACTCTCACCCCTTTAAATACTCATGCACTCATGTATGCTTAAGGTGTTACACGTTTTAACATTTAACATATTTTCATAAAAATATTTTTATATATCACTTTTGTAGCTGTTATCAAATCACCCACAACACACGCTAGTGTGGGGACTAGCGTCAGATCAATTTTGTCAGAATCGTATTTTGCTATGATTAAATTTTGTGATTATTTATTCTTCAAAACTCTATTATTATTTAGTCAAAGAGTATATATTGTGTCAATTTCAGTTGCAGTCACAATCTTATAGTATATCACTTAGTACTTGTTTATAGCAAAATAAATAAATAGCTCGTAAATATTCGCCACTTGCGGGCGTGAGTCAGTGACAATTCTGCACTTTTTGAACGATAACAATAGGCTTTCAACAATCCTCGGGAATCGTAGTAAGAGTACTAGGTGTCTATCGCATTGAACAAAACGCCTTACACCGAGACAAGTATTCATAACGCTTTTCAATATAGTTTTGAACACTGCCCTGCGATTCTGTAACTCACTTTTCGAACTCACACAGCGGTTTTCGCATCGGCGGTCGCTCTCAAATCAGTCGTGAAGCAGTCATTTTATGATTTGGCATTCTGAAAAGGTGGGAGCTTGTAGTTTATTGTTTATTAGAATGCCAAATCATAAAATGACTGCTTCACGACTGATTTGAGAGCGACCGCCGATGCGAAAACCGCTGTGTGAGTTCGAAAAGTAAGTTACAGAATCGCAAGGCTGCAAGAACTGTTTTACTTTATATACCTATGTTAGTCCAAAAAGACTACGATGAGTAATATTTGAGAGGGTTTCATCTGTTTTGTTGTTTATTATGGGCATATAAGCCCGGGTATCTCAGTAATACAGGATTCTTTACAATGTTTTTCTTTACTCTAAGAGGCAGTGTCACAAATATAAAAAGATTGTGATGATCAGCCGGGGATTGAACATACATCGACGCTTAACCAGTAAGCAAACCATTCGCCAAGCTCATCTTGAATATTCTATGATATGATATAATTCATTCGATCGATGATGTCGTCGATTGGAAAAATGTTTTATTTGAAATAAATGTTTCTATTAATTATTTTTGCTCTCTCGTATCGAGTGGGCGTGGACGTCAAAGAAAAACGACTACCTAAAAATGACATTTAATAAATGAAATGAACTTTTATGGATATAGTCGTGAATTAAATTTTTTAATTAGTTGTATTTTTCAGAGTCAGAGACTGCTTAACAATTTTATTTTCATGTTTAATACAAGAGTTAATTTGTAATTAACTGGATGATAACTAACTTGTCGTTTGAAAGTTTAGCCTTAGACGCCTTTGTGCATTTTCTATCTTGTTTAGAATATTCTCGTATGAGTAATTTTGTCAAAGAGTATAATTATTTCATTACGCAATAATTTATTCGCACGATGTTTGCGTGTTTCGGTATAAGTATTTTGTATTTGTACAATAGGGAAAATAAAAAAAATCAGTGGCGCTACCTTCTTTTGGTCTAGGCCGCAGATTTCTGTATCTGTTTCATGATTATTTGTCAATCTAATAGGCATGTAGGTGATCAGCCTCCTGTGCCTGACACACGCCGTCTACTTTATAGTTATAAGGCAAGCCGGTTTCACGATGTTTTCCTTCACAGTTCGAACGAATGTTAAATGCGCACATAGAAAGAAAGTTCATTGGTGCACGAACAACACAATCGAACCTACGACCTTAGGGATGCGAGTCGCACGCTAAAGACACTAGGCCTGGTATTATTAAATTAAATTATGATTTGAATTTTATTCCTTACGTGTACTTATTATACTAAATATATATTGTATTTTAATAATTAAATTATCCAATTTTTCAAATAAAATATTGAATTGTATTTCTTGCCTTACGCCGAAATTTGTTTCTAGTGGAACGACACTAGAACAGAGGATTTTTATAACTAACTTGTCTCTTCTAGCAAGTAATGGGTAATAAAAATGAATATTTAATACACCAACTACATTTACAACTAGATTTTTTTTAAAGTCGCAAAAGTCTATTTGAAGTCGCAATCCTTGCAGTACGTTAAGCTAAATTGTGTGGCAGATCTGTTTTATAAT